ATACGGGAAAAATTGCAAATTAACATTTATAAGGGATTAAGGGGAAAACTATCAGCCGGACTTGAGTCCTAAAGGGGGGAAGTTGACCTGCACTTCGGGGGGGAAGGGGTGGGTAGGATGTTGCAATCTGAAGGTCATATAAACTGTGACGTCAGCACATTTCTGGCGAGACAGATTTTTGTGTGTTTTCTCGTCTTCCTTTTTTTTTGTGGGGATGGGGGGGGGTTACCCTATGCTTTCAAGAACTTAACTGAGCTAATTATTATTATACTCAAAAGGAAGTGCTACATATGTAGGGTCATATAGCACCTGAGGAAGGGTAGGTAATAAGGTCTCGTCAGAGAGAAGTAAATGTACAGCAGTCCTCCCCGTATACATGGGGGATACAGTTCAAGCCCTACCATGGATGCCCAAAACCACGGATAGTAGCGAACCCATAAGTCGTTTTTCATTTACATACATCCCTATGATAAAGTTGAATTGATAAATTATGCACAACAAGTTGAAAATTAGCACTGATGGGAAGCACTCTTATGCTTAGAGAACTGCCAGCATCACTACTTTTGCACTTCGGGGCCATTCAGCAAAAATTTTTTTTTTTTCACAAAACAGTAAACTGCAGACACTGGGGGTTCTACTGTAGTTTCTAATTTCTTGATTAGGGTCCTTCACCAGTATCATGGCATGAACCCCCCTAGAAGAGCCAAAAATGCAAATAGAAATCCAAGATAATTCTGTGATAATATACACATTACTTTAGTAAATGGATAGTTATTAACGTAGTCCATGCAACTGTGAGAGCTGGAACAATCCAAAGATGCGGCAAACTCTTCACCTGAAGTAAAATTCGCTCAAGTCTTCCTATTTCCATCTGACCTGACTGGTGGAGAAATAAATAAAAAATTACGACTGCTTAGTCATTAATATGTTAAAACAAGAGGTTCAAAAAATGGACATGAACTGCAAACAAATTTTTCTTGATGTAAATTCAAACCTTTCTTCTCTGTCTATTAATGCATATATAAGCAGAAGTGCTGTTGGGGGTAGTGTGATGATAAAATTGTGGTGGTTGGGATGGTGTAGAGGTAGGAATGATGAAGAGGTGAGGATGGTGAAGAGGGAGGGTGGGAATGGTGAAGATGCAGGAATGGTGTTTTCTTGCATAATATTCACTCTGTGTAACAAATGTTCACTTCTGGTATTATATGTCAGATGGCATAACCCTGGCACTGGGAGAGATCACTGCCTGGCACTGGGAGAGATCACTGCCTGGCACTGGGAGAGATCACTGCCTGGCACTGGGAGAGATCACTGCCTGGCACTGGGAGAGATCACTGCCTGGCACTGGGAGAGAGTAAATCACTGCCTGGCACTGGGAGAGATCACTGCCTGGCACTGGGAGAGATCACTGCCTGGCACTGGGAGAGATCAACTGCCTGGCACTGGGAGAGGATCACTGCCTGGCACTGGGAGAGATCACTGCCTGGCACTGAGGGAGAGATCACTGCACTATTGGAGATCCTCGTGGACAAGAAATCTGGAAGCTACAAAATATAAATGGAGTAAAAGTTAACTTTTCATAACAAATATTTTTTGGTTGAAAGGAAAGTGCCAAGAGAAAACAATCACAGGCCTGTGTCATTAGTGGCATCTCACAAGGGTCAATGAACTGCCTGAAAAAATACGTAATTAATTTTGCAGATAGAAAAATGTCATGCAACACAGAAATTCAACACTATAAACATCTGCAGGAAGATTTAAATATATTAAGTAAAAGAAGAGAGGACATGAGCACAAGCTCTATTGTAACTATATTTAGGTACAGCAATTACAAACTGAGCACCTCTGCAAAAACAGTGATTATGTGTGAGTGAGGTGAAAGTATTGAATGATGATGAAAGTATTTTCTTTTGGGAATTTTCTTTCTCTTGGGTCACCCTGCCTCGGTGGGAGACGGCCGACTTGTTGAAAAAAAAAAAAAGTGCACAAACACACAATAATAAAAGATTAACAATAAAAAAAAATTACACTTGCCTATCTCCAAGTATACTCGAAAAAACCTCAATCTTATAAAATAATAGCAAATGAGATTCCAGAATTTTGAGTGTGGGTCTTTGGTGAAAAGTAATTTCAAACAGGAAATCTCATACATACATACCTCCAAGTATATCATCTTCAAAACACTAACAACTACACATATGTTATTTTACACACCTATACACACATATGCTAAAAGTACCATACAACACTAACCTTAACAAAATTCTGAACTTGATTGAGAACAGCACCCCATAGTGATGCCTTGGTAACCTATAAAATAAACAATGTGATGATTAAAACCAATATCTCATCTATGGGCAAGTCAACTCCTTAGATTCAGTGTGAGTCGAGGACACATGACAGCAACATCAAGGGCATATCTGCAATTGTTCCAGTCATTTAGTAATGGGGAACAAAGTACAACACAAAGCATTTATTTCCCCCTAAAATCCTTTTCACAACAACACTTCCCACATATATATCACAGGCTAAGTAAGTGTAATACTGAAGGGGAGCACTAAACTCATAAGTGCATACAGTACCTATGTAAATAAATAATTCTAATTTTAATTTCAATATTGTTACCAATTTGTCACTATTCACTCCTTAAAAGAATAAAATTCATATATTCACAGAGGTCATATAGTGGCTGGTTGATCCAAGGAAGAGGGGAGGTTACTTCCACTGCCTTGAATCAAGAGCCCATCATCAGCTTCAAAGGTGTCAAAGGTAATGAGTCCTCTCACCTGATAGTCGTGACAAAGATCAGTGAGTAATATGAGTGCCGTCGGGTTGTGTCGTTGCGAGCGCCAGAGTCCTTCAATTAATGCACACTTATCCATGGTGTTGAACTGCTGCACACTAGTGGCATGACCGAGTGCTTCCAGGCGACTCACGTATGTCATCGTCTGTAGCTGAGACCTGTGATGAAAGTTAAATAGTACATCACTAGTAGCCCACTGCTGCTATTATTATACTACTATTACTATTACTGGTAATTCTGTGATGAGCTTGGTCCATGGCTAGGCTCCAGGAGTAGAAACTCTTGAGCTCATCAGAACCATATACCTTTGGTATATGGTTCTGTTAATTTCTTTCCCTCCTACTATCCTGTCTTCTAGCCTTCTCTACTATTTTCTCAGTTGCTGTGACTGAAACATTGTCAAAAGTTTTCTCTCCCAAGTGTGGGCTATTGGTGAATTATTCCACTCATGGTATTGTGTCATATTTTTAATGAATAAGAAACATGTACAACACTTGGGTATCATTATTGTCAACTATAATATCCAAGGTAAAGATACCCCAAATGTAACACGTCTTATTTATATAAGTGTTTTGTATAACATTAATATATAACAGTTGGCCAAGATTCTTTAATCTGCTGCCAGCAAGTACCAGAAATGCTGACACAACAAGGGTGAAAAGTTTTCAAGAAAAAAACTGGACCACTAAATCCTACAAGTGCCAGAACAGCCAGGCTGTGATGGCTAGGTAGGTCTGTGAGTCACTAACCAATATGACACACTGGCTGGTGTAATGGCTAGGTAGGTCTGTGAGTCACTAACCAACATGACACACTGGCTGGTGTAATGGCTAGGTAGGTCTGTGAGTCACTAACCAATATGACAACTGGCTGGTGTAATGGCTAGGTAGGTCTGTGAGTCACTAACCAATATAACACACTGGCTGGTGTAATGGCTAGGTAGGTCTGTGAGTCACTAACCAATATGACACACTGGCTGGTGTAATGGCTAGGTAGGTCTGTGAGTCACTAACCAATATGACACACTGGCTGGTGTAATGGCTAGGTAGGTCTGTGAGTCACTAACCAATATGACACACTGGCTGGTGTAATGGCTAGGTAGGTCTGTGAGTCACTAACCAATATGACACACTGGCTGGTGTAATGGCTAGGTAGGTCTGTGAGTCACTAACCAATATGACACACTGGCTGGTTGTAATGGCTAGGTAGGTCTGTGAGTCACTAACCAACATGACACACTGGCTGGTGAGCTTTAAGACTCACTTGCCACAGATTCAAGCCCCCCCATGATTTATTTCACAGACTAACAATCAAGTTAGACAGTCAAAGAAACCTGATCTCAGGCCAGACAGTGAAGGTAGAACCCTTGAAGCTTCTCCCAGGTAAAAGTAAAGAAAAACAATAGGGCACTTAATAAATACAAAATCTATCTGATGGTGAGAATATACGAATAATAAAAAAAGTGGCAAAAAATACATCTATGGCTTCACAATAAAATTTTTAAAAAATATTGGAAAAAATCTATGTATGAATTTTTCTAGCTTTATAATTTTTAGCATTACAAGAATTCACTATTCTGCTATGTCCATTTCTACTGATAATTTTGTGTAGGTGTGTACTCACCTAGTTGGGGTTGCAGGGGTCGAGTCCAAGCTCCTGGCCCTGCCTCTTCACTAGTGTGTGTGTGTGTGTGTATGAGATGTACATTGCTGTATAGTCAGTTCACAAAATATATTTCAGATTCTTATAATGAGATATCAAGTGTTGAGTGCCCAAGAGAAATAAATAAATTTAAATAATTCATGCTGAGTGCTAAACCCAGGCAGGTCAGTCAACGCAAGAAGTGGTGGAGACTTTATCCGCTGTCTGTTGAGTGAGAGAGACGCAGTTCCTATTTGTACTTCTCACCTAGATGCCGAGTGGCCAGGAGAGTTCAGCACAGCTGCCATGGGCCTGCAACACCTCTATAATAAACAGCTTATAAAGAATGCAAAGGCATAATACCATGACTGGAACAATATACAAATAACCTGCACACAGAAGACTGTAACTTTTGGTGAAGTTTCAGTCCAACTTGGACCATTAAACAGTCACACATTAATGCACAAATAACCTACACATAGGAGAGGAGCTTACAATGATGTTTCGGTCTATCTTGGACCATTTACTGCCAGACCAAAATGTCGTCGTAAGCTCCTCTCTCCCATGTGTGGGCTATTTGTGTATTGTTCCAGTCATGGTATTGTGCCTTTTTGTTCTTCACACACTAACATTAGTGTGACTAGTTATTGGCTCCCTTACCTTCATGTGTCAGTGTGTGACTAGTTTACTGGCTCCCTTACCTTCATGTGTCAGTGTGTGACTAGTTACTGGATCCCTTACCTTCATGTGTCAGTGTGTGATTAGTTACTGGCTCCCTTACCTTTATGTGTCAGTGTGTGATTAGTTACTGGCTCCCTTACCTTCATGTGTCAGTGTGTGATTAGTTACTGGCTCCCTTACCTTTATGTGTCAGTGTGTGATTAGTTACTGGCTCCTTACCTCATGTGTCAGTGTGTATTGTTTGGTCCCTTACCTTCATGTGTCAGTGTGTGATTAGTTACTGGCTCCCATACCTTCATGTGTCAGTGTGTGATTAGTTACTGGCTCCCTTACTGGTGTGTGTTAGTGTGTGACTAGTTATTGGCTCCCTTACCTTCATGTGTTAGTGTGTGACTAGTTAATGGTCAAAGTTGGACCGAAACATCATGTTGAGTTTCTTTCTCCTATGCATGGGTTATTTCTGTATAAAGAGTTTGTGAAACAATAATTACCGTATGGATGAGATACCCTTGGGACAGTGCTCACGGATGGTCTCCTCATCAGCAATGGCTAATAGACAACGTAGCGCTCTCAAACGGAGAGTGGCAGAGAAACCGGTCTCCTCATTAAGGGCACGGTTTCAATAGATAACCCACAGCTTCATTTTGGGGCAGCATCGCAACAGATATATAACCCTGAAAGTTTTATAAAAATGTGAGTCATTGCAGTTGCAGTCTTATGCATTTTTAAATGGAAATTATACTTATGGGTAATGGGAAGAAGAATTAGACACTTTTGCAACATTTGGGAATTTTTACTGTGGAAAGGTTTTGCCAACAAGTGGCTTCCTCAGTCCAGTACAGAGATGAATGGAGGAAGATGAGGAGTTTGAGGTAATCAGTCCCTCAGCCTTGAGCTGATGTGTTCAGTCCATCAACCTTGAGAAAAGTACAGCATATGCACGGACTAAGAAAGCCACTTGCCGATAAACCGTTTCCACAAAAAAGATTCACAAATGTTGCACATGTGCTAAATTCATGCAACTTGTTGGTTTTCTAAACCATTTACATCATAATGGCAGGTTAATGTGTTTGATCCAAGGAAAGGATAGGTCCAATTACTTGGAAAAAAAAAAAAGTCCTTCATTAGCATCAAGGCCCCTCTGCTGAGTGGAATACAAGTAATAAGGAACGTGTAAATACAGTCACTGTAACTGAAGACAGGAAAGATTGGCATTCTTAAAATATTCATTGTACAATAATTCAAGAAGAATTTGAGTCTTTTCTACTATTAAATACAGTACTCAGGTGCTTTTTTTATACTATTTTTAACTTTGTTTTGATTTAAGAGACACTGGACAATCCTCCATATTATTGTTTATAACAAAGGTTTACTGTACTTCATTTCAGTTAAGAATAGAGTACAGAGCACTTACCTGGAGAGTGAAGTATCATCAGATGAGTCAGTAAGAGAGGCAGCACTGGGGTCTAGAGTAATCTTGAAGTTGGTCACTGTCTCCTCTGATCCACCACCTTCACCAGACTCTGGTGGTGGTAGCCACTTCTCCAGTAAGTCCAACTGGATAAATACCTGCAAGTAAAATAAATCATTTACAGCCACACTTTCCCAATCATCATTATAATTATTACAGCCTCCCCTCACTTAACGACGGAGTTCCGTTCCTAAGACCACGTTGGTAAATGAATTCATTGCTAAGTGAGGAGCATACTATAGTGATAGTGGGTTTGTGTCAACCATCTTTGATATTGTTTTAATGTCACCTTTACACCACTTGTAGCATTCTAGTATATTTTTAAATGTTTATACAGTAGTGTACTGTATATTGCAATAAACAGAATAGAGGAAATCAGCTCTAATATACAGTGGACCCCCGGTTAACGATATTTTTTCACTCCAGAAGTATGTTCAGGTGCCAGTACTGACCGAATTTGTTCCCATAAGAAATATTGTGAAGTAGATTAGTACATTTCAGACCCCCAAACATACACGTACAAATGCACTTACATAAATACACTTACATAATTGGTCGCATTCGGAGGTGATCGTTATGCGGGGGTCCACTGTACATTATTTAAGTATGCACATTGATCAGAGAGCCCATCCCAAGTTTGAGTCATTGGTAAATGAGTATGTTGCCAAGCAAGGAGAGGCTGTATTATATACACACAAATAACCTGCACATAGGAGAAAGAAACTTATGAAGTTTTGGTCCGACTTGGACCATTAACTAGTCACACACTAACAGTTAGTCGGACCGAAATGCTGTCACAGTTTCTTTCTCGTATGTAAAGGTTAGCTGTGTATTGTTGTAGTCATCGTATTGTGCCTTTTTGTTCTTTATTATGTATATTCATTTGGAAGCACTGAACCCGTAGGGTCAGAGTGCCTGGGAAATGGGGGTAATCAGGTTTAGTAGTACAGTATTTTTTTTTTATTATTATCACAATGGCCGATTCCCACCAAGGCAGGGTGGCCCGAAAAGAAAAACTTTCACCATCATTCACTCCATCACTGTCTTGCCAGAAGGGTGCTTTACACTACAGTTTTTAAACTGCAACATTAACACCCCTCCTTCGAGTGCAGGCACTGTACTTCCATCTCCAGGACTCAAGTCCGGCCTGCCGGTTTCCCTGAATCCCTTCATAAATGTTACTTTGCTCACACTCCAACAGCACGTCAAGTATTAAAAACCATTTGTCTCCATTCACTCCTATCAAACACGCTCACGCATGCCTGCTGGAAGTCCAAGCCCCTCGCACACAAAACCTCCTTTACCCCCTCCCTCCAACCCTTCCTAGGCCGACCCCTACCCCCCCCCTTCCTTCCACTACAGACTGATACAGTACTAGTTATTAATTACATTATCAGAGCATTTTGACTGTGTAGGTCACTCAGTGCTCCTTTTTTTTCTTTTTAAACACACCAGTTGTCTGCCACCGAGGGAGATGACCCAAACAAGAAGAAATACTTTCCAAGAGAAGGGGTTACTAGCCCCTTGCTCCTGGCATTTTAGTCACTCTTATGACACACACAGCTCACAGAGGAAATATTCTTCTCCACTTCCCCATGGAGAATTCAGTGCTTATATATATATACAGTGGACCCCCGCATAACGATTACCTCCGAATGTGACCAATTATGTAAGTGTATTTATGTAAGTGCGTTTGTACGTGTATGTTTGGGGGTCTGAAATGGACTAATCTACTTCACAATATTTCTTATGGGAACAAATTCGGTCAGTTACTGGCACCTGATCATACTTCTGGAGTGAAAAAATATCGTTAACCGGGGGTCCACTGTAACCAACCTCGAGAATAAGATCCAAAACCTTGAAGAGAAGATTACATCGGGAAGTGTTGACACAGAAAATACTCTAAAAGCAGCTATAGCCAGTCACACTGAGCAAATAACAACAATAAATATGAAGGTTGAAGAAGCAATCAAGGACTGGAATCAGAAAAATGCACACTCGACTAAATGAATACCTTGATTTCCAAGACGACAAAACTGAACAAGATAAGTTGTCTGATGCAGTTATAATAAACAGTCCACACATTCCTAGTGACATAACACAAGCACAGTGCAAAGAAAATGCTATCAGGATAATACAGAACCACGTACAAGTCATCGTGCAAAACAATGAAATCAAAGAAACACGTTTGTTAGGAAAACCAGGAAGTAAACACAGTATAATGATCCGACTTCATTCATACGATAAAAGAAAGGACCTAATTAAATCAGCAATTACAATGAAAAATGGAGTGTACATAAATGATGTCTAACAAAAAAACGTCAAAACCTTCTGTTCAGGCTGAGAAAACTTAAACAGGAAAACAAAATACATCAGTGTTTCACGCGAGATGGGAAAATACTAGTAAGGAAAACATCAACAGGACAACAATATACTATCTCAAATAAAACACGATTTCTCTACCTTCCTTAGAAAAGCTGACATTTCTGTAACAGATTAGATAAGTGCCCTTAATACATATATACGTGTGTGCATATAGTGTACGTTACTATTATATTGTACATTATTATTTTTATTATTTTTCATCACTAGCTAATGAAATACCTCCAATACTCTATACTTCTTTCTTACTGCTATTAATTGCTCATAATTTTAAATTACAAGTCAAATCTTACTCCAAATTAATTTAATATTCATTATTCTTACCTGTCCATTTAATTTTGTTTATCACTACTTGTTTTTTTAGTCACTTTTCATTGTGTATGCAATTAGTATATATTCCAATTACTTTTTTGCAATACCAAAACTATCTTTTGCTAGCTAGTACCAACTACCTCATTTTTTTTACTTTTATTGTGCAATAAACTGCTCAATTTATTTAATATTACAATCAGATCTTACTCCTAAACCAATATTATTTCATAGTGACCACCTGTCCATTTAACTTTGTTTACCATTACTTAATTTTAGTCCCTTATATATTTTCTCCTTTATTTTAGCTTTATATAACTACCCTAGTTTATACATTCACAAATGTTAAAATAATCAAGGTGCTATTCCAGGTGCTAAAGTAGAATAAGTTCACAATTTTGCCATTATATTCCAAAGCTCATTTATTTGATTACCACTTTATTGTTCACCACAACTTACATTAGTACCTTTTATATTATTATTTTATACTATAATTCTAACTTTAAAGAATTACCTTTATAGTACTACCTACTATCATATTCCCAAGCTCCATTATTTGATTATCACTTTATTTGTATTAGTCCCTTTTATATTGTCTCCTTTATTTTAGCTTAAAAAAAAAAAAAAAAAAAAAAAAAAAAAAAAAAAAAAAAAAAAAAAAAAAAAAAAAAAAAAAACTACCTTAGCTCATTATTTTTACATTTGTTTAAATAATTCAGGTGCTTTTTTTTAGCTTAAGACTATTTACTTTGTTTTATACTTAATTCTAACTATAGATTCACTACAAATCTTATGATTACAAGCATTGATCCTGATCCCAACCTCTTATTTAATGACTTAAATGAATCAAACAGTTACTGTAATTACTACACTGCAGAACAATCAAAGGCACTTCTCAGTGCCAACAACAACATAACTATCTTTAACTACAATATCAGATCTTTAAGCAAGCATTACGATGACCTCATAGCATTACTAAATTCCTTACATGCCAATATGTCCATCATTACACTAACTGAAACCTGGCTAAAGCCTGATAGTACAGATGTCTATGCCATTCCTGGTTACACAGCCATACACAACTGTAGGCCAGACCAACAAGGGGGTGGCACAGCCATATACTACTCAGACCAACTAGAATGTATCACTAATACTTGCAAAAGGGGATGAACATGGGGAATATATAATAGCCAAATTCAAATCCAATACCTACAAAAACCTCTCACATTGATAAACATTTACAGAGTTCCACAGTCAAACATTAGCCAATTTAGTCAAAACCTAGGAAGTATGATAAACTGATGCACGCATGAACAAAGATCACTTACTACTCTCAGGTGACTTCAATATAAATCTCCTGCAAGACCAGGACCCACACGTTACTGAATTCACAAACACAATGAGTAACTGTATGTTGCTACCAACAGTAACAAAACCTACAAGAGTTACAGAGACTAGTGTTTCCCTACTTGACCACATCTGGACCAACACCATATCCCCTTTAAAATCAGGCATAATTACAGATAATACCACAGACCACTACCCTACTTTTCTCATAACAACTCTTGGTAAATTACCCCAAGACACTACTAAAGTCACCTTCAGACTTCACAATGAGGCGCCATTAATAACTTCACAACAGCAGTAGCAAACATTGACTGGCACACTGAGCTAGAAATCTATACAGATATTGACGAATGTATTAATAATTTTCTAAAAAGACCCAATACCTCTATAACAAGCACTGCCCTAAAAAAACTAAACAGATGACAGCTAAGAGATGAACAGTCCCTGGTTAACACCCAGCATTCTCAAATCCATAAATACAAAACACCAATATGAAAAACAGTACAGAATGGGTCACATAACCAGAGACCAAACAAAACGTTACTCGTCAATCCTAACCAGCCTGATAAGAAGGGCAAAAGAATTGTATTATGAGAACAGATTATCCAACTTACGAGGTGATATAAAAAGACCTGGAAAACCCTATCAAAATTCTAGGAACAAAAAGATATCACGAAATAGCGAAATAAAATTAGCAAAATCAGATGAACCCCAACTCCCACCAACAGAAACAGCAAACAGACTCAATGACTTCTTCTCCACTATAGGACAAAACCTTGCCAATAAAATCCCAAGCTCAGATACCCCACCAAATGACTACCTCACTGGCAACTACCCGAACACACTGTTCCTAGCTCCGACTAACCCATACGAAGTCTCCCTTATTATCAACACGCTAAAAAAACAAGGCAGGAGATTTAAATACCTTACCACCCTTTATATTTCAAAAAAGTGTCACAAGTGCTATCACCAATCATTGCAACACTCTTTAACAAATCCATTGAATCCTCCACCTTCCCTACAGTACTCAAAATAGCAAGGGTCACCCCGATCCACAAAGGAGGAGACCAAACAGAGTTGAATAACTATAGGCAATATCCAACTTACACCCTCTCTCAAAATCTTCGAAAAATTAATTCATAAACGAATCTACTCCTACCTTATCTCCCAAAACATACTCAACCCTGCCAATTTGGATTCAGGCCAAATAAAAAATACTAATGATGCTATTATACACATGCTAGAACATATATACACTGCAATAGAGAAAAAAGAAGTCCCACTGGGGATCTTCATTGACTTACGTAAAGCTTTTGATACAGTTAACCATGACTTGCTCCACGTAAAATTGTCACACTATGGTATAAAGAGGGCACTCCCTCAACTACCTCAAGTCATACCTCAGCAACAGAAGCCAATATTGTGTATGCAATGGGGCAAACTCTTCTGCACAACCAATTACAGTTGGTGTCCCACAGGGAAGTGTCCTTGGCCCTCTTCTCTTTCTCCTATACATAAATGACCTACCAAATGCTTCGCAATTACTCAAACCCACACTATTTGCAGATGACACACATACGTCTTCTCCCACCCGAGCCCAGTCACGCTAGCCAATACTGTAAATACCGAATTACAGAAAATATCTACCTGGATGAGGACTAACAAACTTACACTAAACATTGACAAAACCTACTTCATTCAGTTTGGTAACAGAGCTACAGATGTCCCTCTTAACATAATGATAAACGGATCACCTATCACAAAGCTAACAGAGGGAAAATTCTTAGGAATCCACCTTGATAATAGACTCAAATTTCATACACATATACAACAAATTTCTAAGAAAATTTCCAAGACTGTAGGCATACTATCGAAGATACGGTACTATGCTCCACAGTCAGCCCTCCTGGCCCTATATCACTCTCTTATTTACCCCTATCTCACCTATGGAATTTGTGCATGGGGCTCAACAACAAGTAACCATCTCAGACCACTAATTACCCAACAAAAGGCTGCAGTTAGAATGATAACAAATTCTCACTATAGGCAGCACACTCCACCAATATTCAATACACTAAACCTACTCACCATACAAAACATTCATACTTATTACTGCACCTATTACATACATAGAACACTTAAACTCTGATATTAACCCTCCCCTCAAACATCTCCTTGCCAACCTCAACAGAACACATGACCATAACACAAGGCACAGATCACTCTTTGATGTTCCTCGTGTCCATCTCACACTATGCAAAAACTCAAAGCACATAAAAGGCCCTAAAATCTGGAACTCATTACCTGTAAATATAAAAGAAACACTACCTGTTTATAAATTCAAGTCTCTTCTCAAAGATCACTTACTCACCCAAAACCAAATAAATACTGAATAACTGAACCTTATAAATTGTATATCTTAAATGTTTCTCACAATTATATCACATAAATGTTAAACCTAAAAACCCCAATCTAACTTTATTATTTTTTAAATACACTACCTAACAGAATACTCCATTCTACTGAATGTACAACAATGCATACAACCATATGACCTGTCTTTGTAATACTCACTTGTGCTTTATAGTAATCTGTTTTTCAATAAAGTTTTATCACTGATTTCATCATTGCTTAGTTCATCTTAAGTTAATTTTAAGCCAGCCCGTAATGCTATGCATAGTATAAGTGGCTTTGGCATGCTGCTCTTATCTGTATTTTTTGTACCTCTGTATGTGTGCTCAAATTTTTAAATAAATAAATAAATAAATAAATAAATAAATAAATAAATATATATATATATATATATATATATATATATATATATTTTATATATATTTATATATATTATATATATATATTATATATATTATATATATATATTATATATATATTATATATATATATTTTATATATATATATATATATAATATATATATAAATACATACATACATACATGCATGATACATACAAGAATACAATTAACAAACAAAAGCACTAAACTAATAATAATTTATCATATAATTATATATATAGATATTAACAACTCCATTCAACTATTAGGTGAAAAAAAGGATCCCAGAAAAATTCCATGATTCCCTTACCACACGCGTTTATATTTAATGAGGCTGCTCAGAATCCAGTGGATCCATAGATACCCTTCCCTCCAAATCAATATCCCCCTTGAAACCCATAAATCTAGGTACTGTACTGCGACTCATTTCCAGGTAATATTTTATTTATGTAATGTATACGTATGACGTATTAATTAATTAATAATATACAATATTTTATTTTTACAAGTAATTATATTGATATAACATACTGACATATATATATATATACATAGAAATGTTATAATAAATTTAAATTAAGGTAATTTTTAAAATATATATATAATAATAACACAGGACCTACTTATGCTAACGTAACATATATATAATATATAAATATAACATAATATTTTCATCATATAGTTACTATTATATAAGTGTAACATTTCACTCATACATGATGATCTCAAGAATACATGTTGACTAGGACAAATACCTAAACTATAATTATCATAATAATTTATATGCAAGTTTAGACTCCAATTTAAATACTTTAACTCAAAAGGGTCCATTAAAATTCCTGGGTCCTTTAAAAAAGGGTTTAACATCAGATGAGGACTAGGTAATCCTTGATCAGGACCTCCACAGCTCCAAGTTCCTTGGAATATATTTAGCACTTGTTATGCAACTCATTCCGGTAATATGTAATCCAAATTAACTTGACAGCCGTTAATAATATAAACATTTTTTTTAAAGTCAAGTACATTAAGCATCACACACTAAATTACATAAAACATTTTTCATTCCCCCATCTGAATTATACCCAAATGGCAAGCCCAATCCCCAAACACAGGCACTTATTGTCTGGCTAGGAAGTCACAAAAGTGTCAGAAACATCCCCACATTTCATATAGCAGTGACTGATCCCGGATCTCAGTGTACATTTCATCATATCAGTGACTGATCCCAGACTCTCAGTACATTTCACTCATATCATGGACTGATCCAGGACTTCAGTGTGTGTGCTGAGGAACTACCAATTAAGCTACAACATCATAATAATTTTGATTGCAAATGTTTATACAAAAACGTAATAAAAGCTCACACTATGCACTTGTGCTTAAAATATTTGTGGTTAAACATCAGCTGGGGAACAGGAGGTATAGGGTTTTAAAACGAGGAATGCACGCTCCAATTCCTTGGTTATGGGTTTAACCTTGGGTTTTTTGACTATAATAATAAAGTGTAATCCAATTCTTGGTCGAGTGCCTTTTCACCCCCATCAAACATTTTTCTCTTGAAGAGTCAACTATTAAACATCACAAAATAAAAAACGTAAAACATATTTCACTCACCTGATTATAGCCAATTTTGGAGCATATGTCTGAAACACAGCCATTGATGTCTGGCATGGGATGTGTAGCAAGAGTTGCTAGGGAGTCCAGTGATGGATGCTGATAGAGGGCAAAGATGAGTTCCTCTGGAGTTCGTATCAGTGCCAGATACTGGTCCTCTGCCAAACAATATTTATGCAACGCATGCTCAATGGCTAACTGTTGGTGTCGAGTGCTCATGCGAGAACATGCCTCGGATATCTTGGCATCTTTCACGTCCCACTGTTTAGCCAAGAGTTTACACTTCTCAGCAGCTTCCACTTTATCAGCTCCTGGTGGAAGTTTGTTAACAACCCAATTAGCACACGCAGCTGCTAGTTCATTATGCTTGATCTTACTGATGACGGTACGGACCTGGGATAACAGAGCACTATTGCTACTGCATAGCTGCCACTCTGTTGTTTTGACACTGTTCAACTCTGAAACACTTGGGGAGGTTTTAATTTTGGATCTTTCACAGGCCTCTAAAGTTTTAGAAACCGTATTTTGTGTTGCTATCATACATAACTGATCCGAGTTTAATTTCAAGGTAGGAGAGGCTTGAAGCCATACATCAATATTTCCTATGTTCAGTTCTGCTTCGATTATTTTCATCACTGTTTTGCTCCGTCTGTAAAGACTGTGAAAGGGGAGTCGGTACTTGGCTATCTCCGGAGGACCCAAAACTCTGAGGGTGGCTTGTAACCCAATCATCAATTTCCTGATCACTTACTGCAGATTGCCTGGCATATGTCCGTAGAAAACTGACTACATTCAACCCACGCCTCAGCATGTCTAACTCGTGGGAATCTTGTTCAAGAAGAATCAACTGTTGCAGCACAAGTTCAATAAGTTCAAAATTATATGAACTTAGTGTATTTAACTGCTCTAAAAGCATTTGACGCAAGAGTGTTTTGTTGGTGATCTCAGCAACGATTGCTTGACATTTGGAAAGTAAAGCATGAGGTGGTTCGACGTGTACTATGCTGTCTATGTCATTGTTTTCGGTAGACAATTCTGGTGTCCAGGAATGAAGTGTGGTTTCTAGATAGTGAAGCAAAGCATCAGTAACATCCAAATTAAAATCATGACAATAATCATAGAGTATAGAGAAGGTGCAGTCTGGGTGAGAAACAAGGTTACCCTGAACATGATTCAAAGCTCTGGTATCTCCCTTAAAAGCTTCCTTGAAGGATACATTGAGATCAGCTAAACGCTTCCCCCACTGAGCTCTCTTCATCAGCAACTCAAACTGTTCCTTCACCTCTGAGAGTGCATGCAATATGCAATAATCTCTTCCTACAGTAGCAATAGACAGAAGTCTACTATAATCAAATACCAAACCTTTTGATAAGTTCATTGAGTACTTTTAAAGCCTCTTTTTTCATTAGTAAAATAAGCAAGCTGACAGCTAATGGCACATCAACTCTTGTGCTCCCAATAACTTTTAATAATATTGTAAACACTTGCTCCCAGCTGGGTGTGCATCCTGACAAAGATGACTGAATACCCAAACTATCATACCGCTGGGCCAGCAGTAAAACACATACAGAGTGCAAGGTAGTCCTGACCTCGTTCACGAAGGTGACTGACAAGGTCGTGGAAGCTACTGGTCAGACGCGTGTTTTCCAACAGATAAACCCCCTTCTCTTTGTCATCTTGATAAGGCACCAGTGAAGCTTTACCGCGACACCGATGAGAGTTCAAACACATCTCCAAGGCTTGTATCATGAGTGAGGTGACAAAGCTACTTTCAATTGGCATACTGGCATCATGAAACAAAGCACTGAGCTTCCACGTATTGTAGCTGCTGCTGCTCCCGGCTACATCAGTGTTGGTGTAGATGCCCTCCATGTGGCACTGCTGATACAAGGTCTGGCCTAACTGGCACCAAGTTCCCAGTTCCAAGAGAGGATCAGAAGTTCTGTGGACATACAAGAATAACATTCATACATATTTTATCTAATTTGTTTAAATGGAAATAACAGCATACTGCCAATAGTGAAGACTAGGATACAAAAACAAGCTTTACAGGTAGTAGAACAAGCTTTACATGCATCAGAGTAAGCTTTTATTAGGACAGTGTTTCTCTCTAAGGATAACTTTTATAAAACCTGCCCTTAAAGCAAAGCATTATCTAAATTACAGCTTGCTACTCGATGTATTTCTGTCTTCACAAACACAACACAGCAAGTGAAAAAATCAGTCAAAATACAACATAAATTCAATGTGCTCGTAAAGCATGCCCACAACATTTATACGTCTTTAGATACACTTTACAGGTCCACACTACTGTTTGTGCCATCATCTCCAGGTTTCCCAATTAAAGAGTATCTTCATTCCGTGCCTCTTTGAAAGAACAGACACAGTACAGACAACTGGCCAAGATTTTACTATTAAATAGTGTGATATAATAGGTATATGTGCAACATTTTTACTGAAAACTACCTGGAGTATACCTGGAGAGGGTCTTGGGGGGTCTCACAAATTAAAATTATGTGTTAGAAGAGAGAGACTGTCACAAATGATCTGCTAAACAATTTGTGTTCATCTTCAGACTACAAATCACATACCATGGCTGGGATAATTCATAATTAACCCCAGAGTTTGGAGGGGACTTTACTGTCCATCTCGGATTACAATGGAGTTTTTATTTTTAACAAGCTGGCCATCACTCAACAACACAGGGTAAAAAAAAAAAAAAAATTCACTATCATTCATTCAATTGCTATTTTGTCAGAAGAGCACTGACATCACAGCTCAGATGGCCCTCTAAACTGTAGCATCCCTACCCCTCCTTCAGAGTGCAGGCACTGTACTTCCCTCCCATGGCCAGGACTCAGGTCTGACTAACTGGTTTCCCTGAATCTCTTATAAATATTACCTGAACACACTCCATCAGAATGTCAAATCATAAGATCTACTTGTCTCCACTCATTCTGATTAACTTCTTTCCACAAGCCTGTTGGATGTTCAAGCCTCCTAGCACTATCAGAATACCACGCAGTGATTTTTTTGTTTTACTTTGCTGGTCGTCTCCCACCAAGGCAGCGTAACCCGAAAAAGAAACACTTTCAGCATCATTCACACTATCACTGTCTTACCAGAGGAATGCAGATATGAAAGTTTAGATGTCTCCAACCAGCAAATATCCCAAACCTCTACTTTAGGTATTTTATATGGGGTGCAAAACCAAGCTGGGGTACACCACCGGATACTTAACCTGCAGTGGGTCATCGCCTGATTAAAACCCCTTTCAGGGTCCAGACCCCCAATCTGCAACTTGTCCACAGGGTCCAAGAATTTTCAAAATTTTTTTTTATTTTTTTTCTCATGAAATGGTTGAGAATTGTTCTGAAGATAATAACATAAAAAGACAAAATTTGATGGAAAATTGACGAAATTACGCTCTCACTAATTTTGCTGCATCAGCGATTTTGCCCACTTTGACTCCCATTTTAGGCCAATTATATTATTCCATTCGACCAAATTCTTAGCTATTTCGCTAGTATCACTTCTATTTTATCAATGGAGCACAGGAAATTGCAGAGTCAACTGTTTCAACTAACCAACAAAGTGATTGGAAATTGGTAATTCGGCTAATTTCACACAGTTCAAAATATTCCAATTTCAAAATAGGGTCCAGAGTAAACACTGCAGGGATTCCTGGCACTAATATGGCATTTCTTCTGTTTATTAGTTACATTTCCAGGCTTTACAGATGAATTCCATTTTTATTTTTTATTCATATAATGAATTTTTATTCACACCAAAAAATAGAAAATTTACTGTTATGCAATATTGTAATAACTGTATAGATAATATCAGCACATTCATGAACACATATCAGACCCACCAGCTGACATGTACTGAATGCCTGACGTCAATTGTTTACTCTTGAACATTAGCAAAAATCGAACATTTCTGCTACTTTGAGCTTAATTTCAAGCCATTTTCAGTATGAAAACCAATCAAAATCATCTCTGTTTCTGTAATATATCTTCCATTCTATCAAATGAGACCAAGAAACCACGAATACAACTGTAAAAAACATACAAAAAAACACCGCAAAGTCGCTGTTTTAATCCAAAAATACAGTCGCAGTTTTTTTTCTCATTATGCACTTCATGCTCCAGGATTTGTTTAATGTGGTGCCCCCTACCACAGAGATGTATTCTCTCATATCTAGGCCCAAATTTACCGCTCACAGCTTATCTGAGTGAGCTGAGCTCCTGGCGTAGAATTACCGCTTGGACCCTGGCTTCAAAGCCGTAGACCTATGGAACGGACCCTCAAAGGGTTAAGACCTGCTTCAGGACACATCGTATTGTTTCATGACAAATACCACCTGGGAAGGGTTGGAGGTCCAGGATAGACCAAAAACTCGTCTAAATTTCCTCTTCAAAACTGGGGTTAGCTGTGAATTCTCCGGGAGTAGAAAGACTCTTGAAACTCATCAAAGGTAAAGGACCAACCTGGACGTACAGACCTCACTGCTGAGCACACAAGCTCATAAATAATATTAATAAGGTCTGCACAAGACTTAGAGCCACCACTACTCTCTTCGAGGGCCGCTGCATTCACGTTGATGATTCTCCTCTGTCGCCCGATTTTAAGTTTTGATGTTCGACAGTAAGCTTAACCACATCATAAATAACTTCCGTGCACTCCAAGCCTGATGCATCTGCTAAAATTCTCTCTGAAAATGAATAGAAAAAGTAATCACATAAAAGTACATTAATATTCCATTCAAAGTAGGATTTTTAGAGTGAAAACATGGTATAATGGACAAACAGAGGGAAAAGGTGTCCATTTAAAAAAAATCCACTGCATTAAAATGTTTGATGAAACAGACATGGTCTGTTTAACGGAGATTTTTATCGGCACACTACTACTAACGGACAAAAACCGAAAGTGGTGGACTTAGACCTTTGTCTGGCCAAATATGTCCATAATTATATCAAGGTTTAAGTTTTAATAGTGTTATAGTTCGAGGGCAAGACATTTGCATTTTTATATTATTATTATTACATTATTTATTATGTGTACTTTTAACTCAACGGCCGTCTTCTGCTAAGGCATGGTGACTCAAAAAAGATAACACATTCACCATCTTTCTTTCATTAGTTGTCTTTCCAGAAGTGTACAGATAAAATTCAGAAGACCCTTCAACTTCAAGCTCCACATCCCATCTTCAGAGTGCAGACACTGTACTTCCCACCTCCAGGACTCAAGTCTGGCTAATCATTTCCCTGAATCCCTTCATAAAAGTTACCTTGCTCACTCCAACAGCACATTAAGAACAAATTGTCAACATTCACCCACAAGCTTGCTGATTATTATTTTATTCATAAGGAAATACTAAACCTGTAGGGCATAAAGCTTCAAAGGAATGGCAAGTTTCCCAGTTTGTTGCCAGGAAAGGAAGGGATTCCAGGGTTTTCTGCAAGGAAGGCAAGAGTTTCCAGGTTTTTAGAAAAGAATGGAAGGATAATTCAGATACCTGTATCATGGCTTCTCTTAGGCTTTGAAGAACTGCCAGTTTTTTCTACTTTTGCACTTTGGGGCCATTATTATGCATAATTAAGAGGCATTTTTGGGCCATAGTAAAGCATAGATAATGGAAACTGCAGATACTAAATCATGGATACAGGGTTCTACTGCACTGTGTATATTTTGATCCATCTGTAAGGACTGGTACTCTGTATTAACACACAGTCCATTTCACTCATACACACAGTGTCCCCTCTTGTATATAAAATTTAGTATATTTTTATCGTTGTTGTATTGATGGTTTGATGTGCGAAGCGCTTGTGAATTTCTCAATAGAACATGAACTAAAGAATCATATAATCCAAAATTATTAACAATATTTATTCATTGCATGAAAGGATAGTATTACTATATGTTCATAATGAAGTACTGGAGTAGTAACTATCATACAGCACCTGGGCAAACAGGTGTGATCTGAGGAATGTGGAAAATAACTCCAATTCCTTGACTAAAGAGCCCTTCACTAGCATGAAGGGATGAATAATACTAGTTTTTTTTTTAACATGCTAGCCATCTCCCACCGAAGCAGGGTGTCCCGAAAAAAAAGCCCTTTCATCATCATTCACACTATCACTGTCTTGTCAGAGGTGCACAGATGGCAGTTTAGATATACGTACAGTATGTCTAAAAGCAAATATCCCAAATCCCACCTTTAGAGTGCAGGCCTTGTACTTCCCACCTCCAGGGCTCAAGTCCAGCTAACCAGTTTCCTTGAATCCTTTCACAAAATATTACCCTGCTCACATTCCAACAGCTCGTCAAATCCCAAAAACCGTCTATCTCCACTTACTGGACATATGTGAATAGCAGCTTCCAGATCATCATTCTTGGCAGCTAGTGATGCCGAGAAAGACAACATGTCTCCCCTGGCAATACCCAAGAGAGATGCCAGGTGCTGAAGATGATCCAATCCCCTCTTGGCATTTTTCTCCTTATTAAGAGTGAGAGGGAAATTTCCTCTTCCACTTCTCTCTCTTGATGGAGTAATGTTTTGTCTTCACGAAGCCACAACAGTCTACCATCTTTGCACCAGCTGATAACTTCTTCTTCAAACAGTTTCTTACAAGATGTTTTATCTTCTAACTCTTCCAGTGTTGGGTAAAGATTGTAGTGAACCTGCACCAGACATAACATTAATAACTGATAAGAATGAATTCAAGGTAAGTCATAAATAAATAATTCACATTAAGCGCTAAAAACCCAAAGTGGGCTATTCAATGCAAGATGTGATGGAGGCTTGATCCTATGTCTGCTTTGTCTGTTCTAAGGTAAGGTGTAATGATTATCTGTCAATAAATAAGAGAAAAATGGACAGGGACTTGAACGATGGTCTTGATATGTAGCAGGTCAGTAAAAAAAATATACTACGGGGCACCATAAGCAAAGTTGTGTGCGTGTATATCTACTGATGTTTAGCAACACATACACAGTACTTACTTGCAGGGTGTGAAGATTGTGAAAAGAAGTGAAGAGTTTCTCCTCAGATGGGTAGTTGCTACGTACCATTTCTTGAAGAAGGTTTCAAGTGCTACTACACCCTCAGCCACAGCTGATTGAAGATCTCGTCCCTGCAGTGTTACCAAGACACCAATGTTAAAATACAACTTAACCATTATACCTCTGGCAATACAGTGATTGAGTGAGAAATGGTGAAAATGTTTCTTCCTTTTTATTTCTGGGTCACCATACCTTGGTGGGGGACAGCCATTATTGAAAAACATTAAGCTATTATAGTGATTTAAAACACATTGGCTGTTTTCAAAACAGGCACTGTACAACTTGCTTACAAAACTAAGTGCACTTAACCTGTTCCCTTAATCTCCTCATAGATGTTAATTTACTCATGTTACAGAAGCACAATAACTCCCACAACCCACTTAATCTCTGCTCATTACAACCTCATGCAAGTTTCCTGGATACTTAAGCTTCATGCTTCAAAATCTACGTCACACCAATCATTTCTGGGATGACTTTTATACCTTCCCCATACCCTAGCGTTATATACCCTCTTTGTCAACTTATCTCGCTTCATTTTTTTGAAAAAGATCAAACCATGTCAGTAACTCTTCCACTCTCTGAATTTTTGCATCTATTGAATAGACTACTACTGTTTTCCAGACTCAACACCCCAGTTGTCTTCTTCTTCTTATCTATTCTATGATATACCTCGTCATTCGTACACCCATTCAGACACAAGCTCTTAAATCAATCCACTTCCTCCATACTCCTTCCCCTCGTCAGTTTCCTCATACTTAAGTAATAAGCTTAATGACTTCTGACTCCTCTCCCTCAGGTAATCACAAAATATTGGGTAAATGGACACAGATGCAACTAATGTAACACTATTTTGGCAAAGTTTTGCTCCTGGAGAGTGATACATTGCCACAATAAATTGTCACAGTAGTTGCATCTGTGTCCATTTACCTAACGTTCTGTTGGTAATTCAACCAGTGTTAGTAACAACATAATAAATTACTTAGCAAAACTGACCAGAAAAACATGGGGTATTAACAAGATACATAGTGTTTTATACCAGGAAAATAAAAAACAAATACCCAACAAGGGATACTAAATTATTACCTTAATGAAATAAGCAATGTAAATTTTCTCATAAAACAGAATAACATTAACAAAGAAAATTATATTAGCCATGTAAAGCGATTACTGTATTTCGGGCTATTAGACACATTTTTTTCCCATGAAATGTCCCCAAAAACCAGCCTGCATCCTATAAACTGAAGGTCAGTGACGGGAGCTATAAGCATGGGGTGGGCTGTAGCTCTTCCAGTTATGTCCGATGCCGAGCCAGTAAAACTAAAACAAGTCCAGTGTTTCAAAATACAGTAAATTAATAATGTTTTGAGACAAGCAATTTATGAAATACGGATACTGTACTGGGATATTGACGAAATTCCTCCTTAAGTAACACCTTCCTTTCTTATTTCTTAAACTACCGAAGTCACAAAGCAGCATCATTTATGGTAGGCACTTTAAAACAATGCTACGTATAGTACTCTATCATTAGCACATGCTTAGTATTTTCACTTTATTTTCTAGGTACTGGTAATCATACTTACTGTATGTTATGGGACAACAGCTGAAGCATCCATTTTCGTTTATAACCGATAGTCACTGACAAAGATGCATCAGTATGCATTCTGGGAGCCTCACTATATACAGTTGCGCACACAGCAGCAACTCAGTCACCAGCGACTGTTTCACCAGTTCAAATTGAGAGATCATTGGGGTGTTCAGGTGAGCACTAGGCCTATCATATGTTTTGACCAACCCATAAATTAAATGTAACCATATTTCTACATGTAAAATCACTGGAGTAAATAATTACTTGGTATTAGGCATCTTAACTTTTTTCTGATTATTACCTTCTAAATTGCAATGTGTCTAATGCATCAGAGCATCTAATGTCATAGAGTACCTAAGGAATGGTAAATGTTTGCTCCAAGGAAAGGGAGGGCACCTCCAATTCTTCTGATCAAGAGCCTTTCACCAGGATCAAGGCACACTTTCCTTGAAAGGAATTAAAAATAGAGAAGCTATACTGTACCTTGTGTCCTATAGGTGGAAGCAGTAGAGTTTCAACAGCATACCTCAGTAACTTCTGACAAATTTGTCGCTGGAGGTTATCATTTGATGTTTGTAAGAGTTCCTTCACACCATCAACATTCCTGCCAAATATATTGCACAGTTATTATTATTTTTTTATTATCACACTGGCCGATTCCCACCAAGGCAGGGTGGCCCGAAAAAGAAAAACTTTCACCATCATTCACTCCATCACTGTCTTGCCAGAAGGGTGCTTTACACTACAGTTTTTAAACTGCAACATTAACATCCCTCCTTCAGAGTGCAGGCACTGTACTTCCCATCTCCAGGACTCAAGTCCGGCCTGCCGGTTTCCCCTGAACCCCTTCATAAATGTTATTTTGCTCACACTCCAACAGCACGTCAAGTATTAAAAACCATTTGTCTCCATTCACTCCTATCAAACACGCTCACGCATGCCTGCTGGAAGTCCAAGCCCCTCGCACACAAACCTCCTTTACCTCTCCCTCCAACCTTTCCTAGGCCGACCCCTACCCCCGCCTTCCTTCCACTACAGAACTGATACACTCCTGAAGTTATTCTGTTTCGCTCCATTCTCTCCACATGTCCGAACCACCTCAACAACCCTTCCTCAGCCCTCTGGACAACAGTTTTGGTAATCCCGCACCTCCTCCTAACTTCCAAACTACGAATTCTCTGCATTATATTCACACCACACATTGCTCTCAGACATGACATCTCCACTGCCTCCAGCCTTCTCCTCACTGCAACATTCATCACCATGCTTCACACCCATATAAGAGTGTTGGTAAAATTATACTCTCATACATTCCCCTCTTTGCCTCCAAGGACAAAGTTCTTTGTCTCCACAGACTCCTAAGTGCACCACTCACCCTTTTCCCCTCATCAATTCTATGATTCACCTCATCTTTCATAGACCCATCCGCTGACACGTCCACTCCCAAATATCTGAATACATTCACCTCCTCCATACTCTCTCCCTCCAATCTGATATCCAATCTTTCATCACCTAATCTTTTTGTTATCCTCATAACCTTACTCTTTCCTGTATCACTTTCAATTTTCTTCTTTTGCACACCCTACCAAATTCATCCCACCAATTTCTGCAACTTCTCTTCAGAATCTCCCAAGAGCACAGTGTCATCAGCAAAGAGCAACTGTGACAACTCCCACTTTATGTGTGATTCTTTATCTTTTAACTCCACGCCTCTTGCCAAGACCCTCGCATTTACTTCTCTTACAACCCCATCTATAAATATATTAAACAACCACGTGACATCACACATCCCTGTCTAAGGCCTACTTTTACTGGGAAATAATTTCCCTCCTTCCTACACACTCTAACTTGAGCCTCACTATCCTCGTAAAAACTCTTCACTGCTTTCAGTAAACCTACCTCCTACACCATACACCTGCAACATCTGCCACATTGCCCCCCTATCCACCCTGTCATAAGCCTTTTCCAAATCCATAAATGCCACAAAGACCTCTTTAGTTACCTTATCTAAATACTGTTCACTTATATGTTTCACTGTAAACACCTGGTCCACACACCCCCTACCTTTCCTAAAGCCTCCTTGTTCATCTGCTATCCTATTCTCCGTCTTACTCTTAATTCTTTCAATAATTAACTCTACCATACACTTTACCAGGTATACTCAACAGACTTCTTCTTTCAACACACCAGCCGTATCCCACCGAGGCGGGGTGGCCCAAAAGGAAAAACGAAAGTTTCTCCTTTTACATTTAGTAATATATACAGGAGAAGAGGTTACTAGCCCCTTGCTCCCGCATTTTAGTCGCCTCTTACAACACGCATGGCTTACGGAGGAAGAATTCTGTTCCACTTCCCCCATGGAGATAAGAGGAAATAAACAAGAATAAGAACTAGAAAGAAAATAGAAGAAAACCCACAGGGGTGTGTATATATGTGCTTGTACATGTATGTGTAGTGTGACCTAAGTGTAAGTAGAAGTAGCAAGACGTACCTGAAATCTTGCATGTTCATGAGACAGAAAAAAGGACACCAGCAATCCTACCATCATGTAAAACAATTACAGGCTTTCGTTTTACACTCACTTGGCAGGACGGTAGTACCTCCCTGGGCAGTTGCTGTCTACCAACCTACTACCTAAAACTCAACAGACTTATCCCCCTATAATTTTTGCACTCTCTTTTATCCCCTTTGCCTTTATACAAAGGAACTATGCATGCTCTCTGCCAATCCCTAGGTACCTTACCCTCTTCCATACATTTATTAAATAATTGCACCAACCACTCCAAAACTATATCCCCACCTGCTTTTAACATTTCTATCTTTATCCCATCAATCCTGGCTGCCTTACCCCCTTTCATTTTACCTACTGCCTCACGAACTTCCCCCACACTCACAACTGGCTCTTCCTCACTCCTACAAGATGTTGTTCCTCCTTGCCCTATACACGAAATCACAGCTTCCCTATCTTCATCAACATTTAACAATTCCTCAAAATATTCCCTCCATCTTCCCAATACCTCTAACTCTCCATTTAATAACTCTCCTCTCCTATTTTTAACTGACAAATATATTTGTTCTCTAGGCTTTCTTAACTTGTTAATCTCACTCCAAAACTTTTTCTTATTTTCAACAAAATTTGTTGATAACATCTCACCCACTCTCTCATTTGCTCTCTTTTTACATTGCTTCACCACTCTCTTAACCCTCTCTTTTCTCCATATACTCTTCCCTCCTTGCATCACTTCTACTTTGTAAAAACTTCTCATATGCTAACTTTTTCTCCCTTACTACTCTCTTCACATCATCATTCCACCAATCGCTCCTCTTCCCTCCCGCACCCACTTTCCTGTAACCACAAACTTCTGCTGAACACTCTAACACTACATTTTTAAACCTACCCCATACCTCTTCGACCCATTGCCTATGCTCTCATTAGCCCATCTATCCTCCAATAGCTGTTTATATCTTACCCTAACTGCCTCGTCTTTTAGTTTATAAACCTTCACCTCTCTCTTCCCTGATGCTTCTATTCTCCTTGTATCCCATCTACCTTTTACTCTCAGTGTAGCTACAACTTGAAAGTGATCTGATATATCTGTGGCCCCTCTATAAACATGTACATCCTGAAGTCTACTCAACAGTCTTTTATCTACCAATACATAATCCAACAAACTACTGTCATTTCGCCCAAATCATATCTTGTATACTTATTTATCCTCTTTTTTCTTAAAATATGTATTACCTATAACTAAACCCCTTTTTATACAAAGTTCAATCAAAGGGCTCCCATTATCATTTACACCTGGCACCCCAAACTTACCTACCACACCCTCTCTAAAAGTTTCTCCTACTTTAGCATTCAGGTCCCCTACCACAATTACTCTCTCACTTGGTACAGTTGTAATTGCTAAATGTAAAAAGAAAAACTTTTGTTTTTCTTCTTTTTCTTTCTTTCTTCTTTCAACAAAAACGGCCGTATCCCACCAACGTAGGGTGGCCCAAAAAAGAAAAACAAAAGTTTCTCTTTTTGACTTTAGTAATGTATATAGGAGAAGGGGTTACTAACCCTTTGCTCCCAACATTTCAGTCTCCTCTCATGACACGCAAGGCAAGTCAATTCATTTTAAGATTCCAATTAATGTAATTGAAATTTAGATTTTTTCCAACATCTGCTGACTCTTACCAAGATACAACAACTTTAAAAAAAAAGAACATTCATCATTCAACAGCTACCTTACTTGAAATGTGCAGAATTCGTTACTCAAATCACTCTCCAAACTATATCTTCCCCACCCAATTAAGTCATATTTCATTAAGTGTATTAAAGAACTGTGTCACCTTGCACATATGTAAGACTTTTCCTCCGATATGAGTAGCAAAATACGTACCGTGTGTTAAGAAGATACTTGGTCCTCGTAACATAAGCATCAATGCGAGAGAGATGTTTGTATGAAGCAACCACATGAAGTGCGTCCTCTAACACATCTGTTCTTCCATCATGAGATAATATATTTTCCAGCATCATCTGCAACAAAAACAATGATAAAAAAAAAGGATACAAGAAAAATGGTATCATTTACCACGCTGGCCATTTTCCACCCAGAAGATTAATGTTTACTGCCTCGAGTGCTTTGAAATGAGTTTTTTCCTTCAGGCATTCATCTGCCTCTGGTAGAATTCCTATGGTAACGCTCTCGCCTCATACACTGAGTGTCTGTGGTTCAATCCCTGGTACAGGTGGAAACATTGGGCATGTTTCCTTACACCAGCTGTCCCTGTTCACCTAACAGTAAGTAGGTACTTGAGTGTTAATTGACCGTTGTGCGGGTGGCATCCTGGGGAACAAGACTGAAGGACCACAATGGAACTAAGGCAAACAGTCCTCTATGATGCACAGACTATTAGGTTATCCTGGGTGGCTAACACTCCTGACTAAAAATCTGAACAAATCTTATCTTCACATGCCTATGGCCATTTTCAAGGATTCTTTTACCCTAGTAGCCCAGCCTGAGACCTGACTGTCCTGTCCATTTGGTCAACCATGTTGCTGATGCTACTGAAACACATGCAACTATCCACATGACTATCACATTATTATTACATTTATGGGGAGATGGGAGTGCTAAACCCACAGGGATCACAAGGAAAGGTAGGACAGCTCCAAGTCTTTGGCTCAAGAGCCCTTTAACAACATCAAGACACCTTGAAGGAAGGGCCATCACAATTCCACTGATCAGGCACTCACAATAGTCATCCAATTTCCCACTGAAAACTACCACTGTTCAAGAGGGAGCTGTACAGGCACCTAAAGTCAGTACCTGACCAGCCAGGCTGTGGTTCATACATTGGTTTGTGGTCATGGACTGGGCCATGGGGGTGTGACCCCCACGGCCCAATTAGGTATACTCCAGGTATACATCTCCAAAATCTGGTGAATAATGGAAATGGAGCACTGCGTACCTAATTAGTTAAACTAATGAGATCTACACTGCTGGTACTTATAAATCCCTGATGCAACCTTAACTTTGCACTAATTCAAGAAATGCTATCTCACCTCTGCATTCTTTGCTATATCAATTCTGATAAGATGAAGGTCATATTTTCTCAAGACAAGCTTCAGATCCACAAGACGTCTCTGATCCTCCAATTTGCAGCTCAGAGTGCTATTATGAGAAAGGCCTAGATTACATGCAGCTTGTGTGCCAGGACTCCAGGGTACGGGAGCTACACGGAGACACTCCAGTATACAATGAGCGCGTACCTGAAATGCATCACTAGTATATAAAAAAATGGGTTTTTATTTGATGTAAAGCACTAAGCCTGTGTGGGTCATTTAGTGCAAGCATTGGTGGAAGCTGAATCCTATGTCAGCTGATCACAAATCTAACTTGCTACCATTCACTATATCAAAGAAAAAATGAATTTGAGGCTGTCCCTTGTGGAAGTTATCATTATTATTAAAACATTACTGTATAAGATAAAACACCTCACACAAGTACTGGTTTAACAATAACATTACTGTAAAAGATAAAACACCTCACACAAGTACTGGTTTAACAATAACATTACTGTATAAGATAAAACACCTCACACAAGTACTGGTTTAACAAAAACATTACTGTATAAGATAAAACACCTCACACATACTGGTTACATACATTATGTAAAAGAAACATTCAACAAGTACGTTAACAATAACTTACTGTATAAGATAAAACACCTCACACAAGTACTGGTTTAACAAAAACATTACTGTATAAGATAAAACACCTCACACAAGTACTGGTTTAACAATAACATTACTGTATAAGATAAAACACCTCACACAAGTACTGGTTTAACAAAAACATTACTGTATAAGATAAAACACCTCACACAAGTACTGGTTTAACAATAACATTACTGTAAAAGATAAAACATATATCATACAAGAACTGGTTTAACAAGAGGGATTTAAATAAGTGGAACAAAGTGACAATTAGTACAGCTGAAGCTAATGCCTAAAATAGATTTAAAAAATAGGCTAGAGTAATATGAGTGAGAATACTTGGGTGTGAGTAAAAATTGCCTAGCAAGGGCCAGTAGGCCTAGTGCTCTTTTCTAATATGCTTATCACTTTTAGTAACCTTTAAACATTACATAAGTAAACTCAACTCTCACAATTATTTTCCAAAATTGAAGTGGAGACAAGTTTTTGAGATTTGATGTGCTGTTGGAGTGTGAGCATAACAATATTTACCAAGGGATTCAGGGATACCAGTTAGGTGCATTTCAGTTTTGTAACTGGAAAGTACAGTGACTGCACTTTGAAGGATGGGTTGGGATGTTGTGATTCAAAGGTCACGTAAACTGTGCTGTCTGTGCACTTTTAACAAGACAGCTATTGTGTTTCCATCTGTGAATCATGTTGAAAAAATGTTAAAATTGTGTAGAAATTAACAGTGTTACCTCACCTGAGCATCAGATATGATACTTATGACAGCATAAAGTTTGTCTTCCCAGGAGGCCTCTCCATAAGCCCACCAGTCCTGCCCAGCTGAAGCCAGGGTGTCCAGCACATAGTGAGCCAGAGTGCCATCATGATCAAGTTCGTGGCGTATGAGGTAAGAATGTAAAAATCCATCCATTAGTGGAGAGACTTCTTCACCACACACTAGCCAGCCAAGTAATGCTGAAACAACCATCTCTTTGTTTTCCTGTGATAACAAAAAAAATATTGTAAAATTATCAAGTAAAATCCCTTTTAAATTTCACTTATCCATTAGCCAACTTGAGTCCGGGAGGTGGGAATACAGTACTGCACTCAAAGGAGGGGCTTGGGATATAGCTGTCTAGGGGGCCATCTGCCTGTGGTATCTGGCAACTTGGGAACACATAAAGGTGAAAGATGGTTAAGGGGTTTTCTCGGGTTCCCCGCCCAGTGGGAGACACCAGCATTTAAAAAAAAAAAAAACGTAAATACACACTTGCAAAAATAAAACTTTACTGTTTTCTTGCATTTAAAAAGAGCCTATCACAAAAATTCACAAATTACTTAAAAAATAAAAAAGCATCGTAACACTGAATAATACCATAAAAGGGGACTTCACCACACACACTAGCCCGTCCAGTAACGCTCAATTTTTTTAATTTTATTACACACGGGCCCATTCCCACCAAGGCAGGGTGGCCCGAAAAGAAAAAATTTCACCATCTTACTCCACACGCCCTTTCCAGAAGGGTGCTTTACATACAGTTTTTAAACTGCAACATTAACACCCCCCTTCAAGTGCAGGCACTGACTTCCCACTCCAGGACCAAGTCCGGCCACCGTTTTTTTCCGAACCCCTTTATAAATGTTATTTTGCTCGCACTCCAACACACATCAAGATTTAAAAAAATTTGTCTCCATTCACACCAAAAAAACACCTACAAAACCCTGCTGGAATCCCAACCCCCCCCCCCCCCTTTTCCCTTTCCCCTACAGACTGATACACTCTTGAAGTCATTCGTTTTTTGCCCATTCTCTCTACATGTCCGAACCACCTCAACAACCCTTCCTCACCCTCTGGACAACATTTTGGGTTCCCGCACCTCCTCCCAACTTCCCCAAAATACAATTCTCTGCATTATATTTACACCCCACATTGCCCCAGACATGACATCTCCACTGCCCCCCCCCTTCTCCTTGCTGCAACATTCATCACCCATGCTTCACACCCATATAAGAGAAATTGGAAAAAACTATACTCTCATACATTCCCCTCTTTGCCTCCAAGGACAAAGTTCTTTGCCCTCCACAACTCCTAATGCACCACTCACCCTTTTCCCCTCATCAATTCTATGATTCACCTCATCCTTCATTAAACCCAAACCGCTGACACGTCCACTCCCAAATATCTGAATACATTTCACCTCCTCCATACTCTCTCCCTCCAATCTGATATCCAATCTTTCATCACCTAATCTTTTTGTTATCCTCATAACCTTAAATCTTTCCTGTATTCACTTTAATTTTCTTCTTTTGCACACCCTAACCAAATTTATCCCCCCATCTCTGCAACTTCTCTTCAAATCTCCCAAGAGCACAGTGTCATCAGCAAAGCGCAACTGTAACAACTCCCACTTTAGTGTGATTCTTTTTCTTTTAACTCCACGCCCCTTGCCAAGAAACCCCCCGCATTTACTTCTCTTACAACCCCATCTATAAATAATTAAACAACCACGGTGACATCACACATCCTTGTCTAAGGCCACTTTTACTGGGGAAAAAATTTCCTCTTTCCTACATACTCTACTTGAGCCTCACTATCCTCTAAAAAATCTTTACCGCTTTCAGTAACGTACCTCCTACACCATACACCTGCAACATCTGCCACATTTTCCCCCTATCCACCCTGTCATATGCCTTTTTTCCCAAAACCATAAATGCCACAAGACCTCTTTAGGGCCCTTTTCTAAATACTGTTCACTTATATTTTCACTGTAAACACCTGGTCCACACACCCCTACCTTTCCTAAAGCCTCCTTGTTCATCTTTCTATCCTATTCCCGTCTTTACTCTTAATTCTTTCAATAATAACTCTACCATACACTTTACCAGGGATACTCAACAGAAATTATCCCCCTATAATTTTTGCACTCTCTTTTGTCCCCTTTGCCTTTATGCAAAGGAACTATGCATGCTCTCTGCCAATCCCTAGGTAAACCCTTTCCCTCTTCCATACATTTTTTAAATAATTTCACCAACCACTCCAAAATTAATCCCCACCTGCTTTTAACATTTCTATCTTTATCCATCAATCCCGGCTGCCTTACCCCCTTTCATTTTACCTCCCTGCCTCACGAACTTCCCCCAACCCCACAACTGGCTCTTCCTCACTCCTACAAGATGTTATTCCCTCCCTGCCCTATACACGAAATCACAGCTTCCCTATTTTCCATCAACATTTAACAATTCCTCAAAAATATTCCCTCCATTTTCCCCAAATACCTCTAACTCTCCATTTAATAACTCTCCTCTCCTATTTTTAAACTGACAAATCCATTTGTTCTCTAGGCTTTCCTTAACTTGTTAATCTCACTCCAAAACTTTTTCTTATTTTCAACAAAATTTGTTGATAACATCTCACCCACTCCTCATTTGCTCTCTTTTTACATTGCTTCACCACTCTCTTAACCTCTCTTTTTTTCCCTCCATATACTCTTCCCTCCTTGCATCACTTCTATTTTTGTAAAAACTTCTCATATGCTAACTTTTTCTCCCTTACTACTCTCTTTACATCATCATTCCACCAATTGCTCCCTCTTCCCCTCCCGCACCCACTTTCCTGTAACCACAAACTTCTGCTAAAACACTCTAACACTACATTTTTAAACCTACCCCATACCTCTTCGACCCCATTGCCAAATGCTCTCATTAGCCCATCTATCCTCCAATAGCTGTTTATATCTTTCCCTAACTGCCTCCTCTTTTAGTTTATAAACCTTCACCTCTCCCCTTCCCTGATGCTTCTATTCTCCTTGTATCCCATCTACCTTTTAAATCTCAGTGTAGCTACAACTAGAAAGTGATCTGATATATCTGTGGCCCCTCTATAAACATGTACATCCTGAAGTCTACTCAACAGTCTTTTAATCTACCAATACATAATCCAACAAACTACTGGGCTTTTGCCCTACATCATATCTTGTATACTTATTTTTCCTCTTTTTCTTAAAATATTTATTACCTATAACTAAACCCCTTTCTATCAAAGTTCAATCAAAGGGCTCCCATTATCATTTAAAACCTGGCACCCCAAACTTACCTACCTCACCCTCTCTAAAAGTTTCTCCTACTTTAGCATTCAGGTCCCCTACCACAATTAAATCCTCACTTGGTTCAAAGGCTTCTAAACATTCACTTAACATCCCAAAATCTCCCCTCTCTCCTCTGCATTCCTCTCAAACAATCACTATTTTCCCATAAAACAACAAGTGAGAATTGGCCACAGAGCAAAAATTTTAAACTATCCAAAAAAAAACCCTTAACTGCACATTTGCCAGTCTATAAAGCTGAAACAACTCTCTTTTCCTGATAAAAAAAAAACATGGGGGGGCAACTTTACTACAATCCCACTAAACTGATTTTTACTACAAACAAATTTTTCCCAATGCTTCCATAATATGGACCCACGGGGTAAATACCCACCTGCGTATACTACTGAATTGTATTTTGATTCAAATTTTTGTCTGACGCACCCCTTAGGTCCTGAAGACAAGAGCTGTCTGACGCAGGGGTAGAGAGCAAGGGGACTGTGAGCCTTCCACTGAGCAACATAACCCCCATCTGAATTCTATGTTTCCCCCTAAAAAAATTTTACATTTAAAGTGAAATGTTATCAATTCTTTGGGGTGTTCTTTTAAATTTCATTACAAAAAAATTCTGTAATGCAAAGTAACAGTTGTTTGTATAGTAAGAGATAATAAAATATAATATTGCAGTAAACCTTCAATTAAGTACTAAGAGAGAAACTAAAGGGGCGATAGTGACGATTGGGAAGATAGAGTAAACTGCCTTGCCACATTGAAAACAAAAACAATTCGTAAACAACAGATTTTGTCCATTTCCACTTTAACCCAGCAATTTGTCCTATTTTTTCCAAATTGCGAAAAAGTTAAAAATGACAAAAACCCCAAAAGAAAGACTTTTTTTGAAAAATACATCAAAAAAAAATTTGACTGAGTCCAAAAATCAACCTGCATGGAAATCAGCTACAACATTTCTAAAACAGATAAATAGATTGCCAGAGCTGCCCCTTTGGGAAGGCCATGCTTTTTTTTTCTAAAATTTCCCAAACTCCTGTAAAAACAAAAAATCATTCATTAAAAACTCTTTATTTCACATTTAAAGCTTACCTAAACTTGCATCATCCTTATTTCCCAATTAGCTACTTTTAACATTTGTTATACAGCCTCTCCTCACTTAACAAAGGAGTTCCGTTCCAGAGTACATGTCAGTAAATGAATTCATCACTAAGTGAGGAGCATACTATAGTGGTATTGGGTTTGTGTAACCATCTCTGATACTGTTTTAATGTCACCTTTGCACCATTCATAAAATTTCTGATATATTTTTAAATGTTTATATAGCAGTGTACTATATATTGTAATAAACAGAATAGAGCAAATCACCTCTAATATACATTATTTAGGTATGCACACTGGTCGGTGAACCCATTGTAAGTCCGAGTCGTCGGTAAACGAGTGTCACAAGTGAGGAGAGGCTGGACATTATTATGATCAAAATGAAACGCAAACCCCTTTTTTATACAAAAGGCAAAGAAAACTGAAAAGCCAGGACAAGGCAAAAGTAAACCCCCCCCTTTTCCCTTTACCATGCACTGAAAAATTTACTTTTTAAAAAACAAAAGAGTAAAATTTCTGAAGAAAAAATAAAAACCCATTTGAAAGTGCAAAAATAATTTAAAAAGCTTTTTTCATTTAACTACCACATTATCTTTAGTGATAACACCCTCAATAAATCATTTAAATTTTATTTTTTTTACTTGACTCACACCCCCCACGGCAAATTTTCTCTTTGAGCCTGGGGAAAATTTTTACCAGTCCCTAACACATTTTTTTCGGCAACCAATTCCAAAGTACCGAGAAGACACTGGGAAAAGCAGCCCAAAAACGAGACACACACGGCTGGTTCCACACTGGAAGAACTCAA